TATGTTTATCTTTACCATTAACCATTAATTTTGCTGTGTGTTCGTATAAACCCGCTATATTTTTTGCTATGCATGTATAAAAACCTCTATGATACTCTGTTACAGATGGTATTTCTAACATAACAATTTTTTTCCCTATACGATTAACCAATATAGGCTCAGGCAGTGATCCCCGTGTTTTACCATCAGTATTTTGAAATGTCCAAGATATATTAATTGGCATATCTCCACGTGCTACATGACATGTTAACTGAGCATTATCACCAACACTCAATTTACCATCGATCGAAAAAGGCATGATTGAGGGAGGTACTAAAAATGTAAGAAAAAGTATTAAAAATATTATATTTTCTCAAGTACTGATTGGTAATGAATAAGGTAATTGGAGTTCAAATGCATGGGGACTAGAAATATAAGCATGATGCGCAGGTGCTGACGTTATATTTGAGTAGCCAAATTGTTCTCTGTATACCATTAACCATCAAAACTGCAGTTTGGTTGAAGATCCCTGCTCTATTTTTTGCTATACATGAGTAACTTCCTCGATGATATTCTGTTACCGTAGGTATTTCTAACATTGTTATCTTTTTGCCAATTTTATTTTCAATTGTTGGCTGTGGCATTGGTTGTATACGACCATTTGGGTCTTGAAACATCCATGATATTTCTAATGGAGTGTCACCTTTTATAATGTGGCAAGTAAGCTCAGTAGTTTCACCAACGTTTGATTCACCCTCGAATGATAATGGTTTCATCGATGGGGGTACTGATAACATGTACATTGGTTTTAATGTCAAAGGAGAATATGAAGAGGAGTTATAAAATATTTAAATCTAAAATATAACTTTTTAGCGCCATATTGCTTAATAATTATAAAAGAGACATGCTATAAAATTCTTATGAGAATTTTATTAGACTTCCTTAATTTTTTACCATTGACAGACAAAACAGCTGATTGTGAAACTCGATTTGCACGATTATTTGCAGTACAAATATATGTACCACGATGAAATTGTGTTACCACAGGTATTTCAAGTACAGCTATTTTTTTTCCTATCCTATTTACTGTAGTAATTTCTGGAAGTGGAACTGATCGATTTTTGGCATCCAAAAATGTCCAAAACAATTCAAGAGGCATATCACCTTTGCTCACGTGACAAGTTAATTGAGCATTATCACCAGCATTAGTTTCTCCGTCAAACGAAAATGGTAATATTACAGGTGAAACTAAAAATTGTATACAGCTTATGTTTCATGGTTATGTTCAGATTTTTGATAAATTATTTATCCCATCCGATTTAATACAATTCACGAGACATTTCTAGTGTACTTACCTGAACTTAAACTACTATAATTATAATTAAATAATTATACATAAGTTATAACTTTACTTAATCCTTATTGTTGATTTAATGTATTAACCAAATCTTAAAATTCAATTTGATTCAACAAATAAATCATAATGTTAAATATTTTGAAAATTGTATGTTGTTTATATATATATATATATATATATATATATATTAGGGTGGGCCAACCTTATAGAGACAAACAATTAATTAAAGAAATGTTCTTACAGCATATGCTTGTTTTTTTTTAAGAGATACAAAAGAATGATTCTGTAAAAATTTTGACTTGATAATTCAACCCCTTCATGTACCGCACAAGGATTACAAAATGACAAAATAGGGTTAATTTCCATTTTTTATTTTTTTTTTACCTTAATTATTAAAACTACAGAAATATTAATAAAAACAAATTTGGCTTAAAATTTTTTTGCTTAAAAAGTATTCTAAGTTATTTTTTTTAAAATTATTGTCTCTTATAAAAAATACTAAAAACTAAAAATATCTTGGTAATTCGATAATATTAAACTTTTCATTATTTTCGATGTTAAATATAATAAATTACTTTATTTTCTCGAAAAAACTGTAATATTCTTATTAGGAATGTATAAAGTATACAATACATACTTTAGTTGTTATTTGTAATCTATAAATAGACAATTAATGGACGATTTCACGGATAAAACTGAAAAATTCTTTATCTTAATCTATCATTATTTACGAGTATGTTGCCTCAGTTCTAATATGTAATAACGATACTTCTTCAAGGGAAAATTTGAGAAAAGGGTAATACTAAAATTAAATCTAAATTTTTAAATTTAAACATAGATTTTGTTGTTATTCATTGGAAATCAAAAATATTGCCTGATATAACTGGCAAAGCAAATTTAGACCGTCTCCTGGTTGTCGTCACAGCTCCAAGTTTATAGTAACTTCTTGAAGTCCCCGGGTTTACAAGCAGTACAGGATTAGAAATCTCGTCAGCTGTGTACGATAATTTACAGGATTGGGGATTATTAGATAAGATACAGGCCATAAATGGTGTTTATTTCCTGCTAGAACTAAAACTTAACCGAAATATTTTATAACTTGCTTACTGACTCCATATGTATGAAGTTTATTTACAAGGTGTTTTCCACGAGACAAAATCATGCATTATGTCTGGTCCAGATACACCCATTTTTAAAAAGTTTCAAAAGAACTGAAGTAATATTAATAAAAAAAACCTTTTCCGCATGTTTAACAGACAGTTATGTTTATGACAAATTTGGAGACATTGCTTTTAATATTTTGGATTTTGCAGAAAGTAAAGTAAAAGAAGATTTGCCGCGTAATGATTATAGAGAATTGGAGCTTATAATTATTTTCTTGGGAGGTACTCCTTCAAGGGGTATAATATTTAGTCAACCTGGTGCTTATCATCTAGGCATATGGATGGCAAAAGCAATTTATTATTTCAAAATTTACTTGTTCAGACATCAAGTACAATTAAATCTCAAAGAAGAAACTGCCCTTAAAGATATTTGTTGTTTTGTTGTTATGTGTTATGCACAGAATTGGTTTACCTGTATAAACCCTATTGAAGCTCCTTTAAACAATATAATTTTTTTGAAAAAAATAATGTCCTATAAAGATATCAACCCATCAATTTGAAATATAGCTATTAAGAAATTTTGTAACCATTTATGGTATCTAAATGAAGAATGAGTTATGTTTTCATTATTTGATGAGGAAATCTCGATTGAAGACAAACAAAAAACTGTAAAAATTATTTTACAAGAAAATAATAATAAAGACGAAGAGTTAGAAGTTCCAAAAAGAATAATATTGATAGCCTGGAGAATTACAAGAGTTCATTAAGCGAAAAATCCCCATTGAATTATTTACAACAAGGTCTCTAAAATTTTTTTCCCGTTTCAAATTTTCCTCCGAATTCTTAAAAATGGCTAGTGGAAAAATAATTTAAAATATAATAATACTCGAGACATAATTTCATCAATCAAAGTTGTAAATAACATTGCTGAACGCAATGTTAAATTAATTGAGGACTTTAATCAAAAAATAACGAAAAATGAAGAACAAAAGCAGTTCTTATTACAAGTTACAACAAGTTACACTATACAATATCATACTAAATTATTCAATTTGATTTTTCAGGTTGTAAAAGATTACAGAATAAATTATCGTAGACATAGCAGAGAAGTATTAACTTAAAGTCTCGAATAATGTAATATATTAATAATATAATGCGATTTTTACTCATAACCTTTATAAAACTGTAATATAAATAATTTGTATACTAACATTTTTCATGGTATCATTATCCATTCAATAAATATATTAAAATAATTATAAAAAAACAATTTATTCTAAATATAGGAAATATTTTGTATTTAAATTTTTTTAATCATAATAAAATTAATTTATGAAAAATTTTGTAAGATTCTAATAGGTGTTATACATTTTTATGCTAAGTGTTATAGTTTTTGACCTATGTTCAAAAACCAAAAAACTTTCCCATTTGGTTATTTTCAACCCTTATGCGGCAAGTCAAGGGGTTGACTTATCAAGTCTAAATTTTTATAGATTCATTATTTTGTGTCTCTTAACGAAATAAGAGTGTGCTGATTACAAAAATCTTAAGTTAAAGTTTTTGAACCGTCATATATATATATAAATAAAATATTTTCATATACTTGTGTTACAACTTTTTAAAACACTTTGATTAGATATATCATTTATAAAATAAATATAAAATATTATTTTAAAATGTATGAAGTATGTATACATAAATGAAGTAATGACAAGCATAGAATATATTCCTTTCACAGAATATTTGTTTTTTTACTATCAATTTTTTTAAACAATAAAAATAATTTTTATAGTAATTAAATCAAACGTAGTGCAATTTTAATAGCATAATATTTAATATTATCCATAATATTTCAATAAGTTTATTTTTAAGATTAAATTAATTTAAATTTAAAAATTCGCCATAAGTACACATTGTTAAAATCAATGTCAACGAAAAATTAATTGCTAAATTATATTCTATGTAGGTATAAAGTTTTGGATATAAAAATAAAATTCATCGCAATTCGATATTAATGAAAATAATATACATACTATTTACCGATAGCTAATATTTTATATCAAGTCATTTTTAACCAAAAATCTTTTTCATATAACCAATTATAGTATCTATACTTAAGATATTTTTTTATCTCATACGTTCAAAGAACTTGTATTTATTTCCTGCAATTATTACATATTGTATTCTGTTCTTCATATTTTGATAATTGAATGATAAAAATAAAAAAAATTTATGTTATATCAAATACATTAAATCAAATCAAATCAAAATTAATAAAATACTTTTGTTGTGTATTGTACATTTTATATGAAAAGAAATAGAACTTCAGATACTTGACACAATTTTTGTTTTTGAATAATGAATAAGATATGAAATAGAATTATAATCTAAATACCAAATACTGCATTGAATTTATTTAATAATAAAAACGAATTTAACCAATTATAAACCAAAGTAAAAATAATAAATACTTGTAAATTTGAAAATAAAATGGAAAAATTTCAATATGAAGAACAGATAGATGATATATTTATATTTTACCATATAAAATGTTTACATACCCATAACTTGCACTTCTAGATTTCCTTTAGCAGTATGTCCTTGAGCATTGCGAGCAACACATGTGTACGTGGCCTGATCTGAAGATCTTTCCACATTTTCAATTATTAATGTACCATTTGGAAATACTTTTTGTTTGCGATTGATAGGAAGTTGTCGATTATCTAATAATTGAATTTTATTTTAAGAAAATGTTAATTAATAAAAAATGTGAAGGTTACCTCTTTCCCATGAAATTGATTCTAATGGATATCCAGCTACTGGACAAGTAACAAAAAGGTTTTCTCCTGATACAATATTTTTCTTATCCATTGGTCTAATAAAAGGAAGTCCGTATACATTGAGATGTGCAGTGTGTTCTGCTGTACCAACTTTAGATACAGCTACACATTTGTAGTGACCACCATCGTTAGTGTGAACTGATGATATATTGAGATAGGAAACTACTTCACCCGCCATTGTAATATGTTGTCCAATACGAAGTCTAAAAATATACATTAAATAGGATATAAATTATTAGAATTACTCTACAGACCTTTCTGTGCTGCTTAGGCGTTTGGAATCTAATTCCCAATTAATCTCAGGTGTTGGATTTCCAGATGCAATACATTTCAAGTGCAAAGATACTCCTGGTTGCATTGTATTATCATTGAAATATTCTTTAATATGTGGTGGTTCAACTGTAAAAATGTTTTCAGTTAAATTAAACAAATTATAGAAAATATATATTAATATATACATACATCGTCCTCCTAATTTGAGTTCAGCACTACCTTGAGAGCTTTCCTGCTCATTCCTCACAAAACACTGATACATGCCTTTGTCTTCTTTGCGAACAGAATCAATTCTTAATACTCTTCCATCGTGAGAGTTCAACCGTTTACCATCTTTTAACCAAGATATTGTTTTTACAGGATTCCCTTCATAGTTGCAAGTCAAAGTCGCAGGTCTTCCAAAATCCACAGTTTGTATGGTGGGTTCAACAATTGCATTTAATGGAGCTGAAATGTTGATTACATTTTTATATAAAATTAACATTCCAATTATAATTATTAGAAATCCTGAGATATTTGTTGATAAATTTAAGATAAAAAAATTAATAAAAAATGAATGATCAACTTACCAGTAACGGTCAGTACAGTTTCCACACTTTCGCCACCAACAGAATTATTGACGACACATAAATATTTACCAGAGTCTTCAACTTTAGCTTCACGAATTATCAATGTTCCAGAAACTTGTTTAATTCTGTCATCTAATATCACTGCTTGCTTTTTATTAGAACCTTCAAGAAACTTGTACCACCTGCACATAATTTTACTTATTATTGTAACATTTTCTTTTTGTTTTACATTTTTTAGAAATGTGACTCCATATGAATACTTAATTGATAGAACTTTGAATAACTATTAATTAATATATAAATAAACAAACAAATAGTTTATTTATCATATAGAAATAAATAAATACTTAGCCTGGAGTAGAATATTATTATATTTTTAAAATATAATACTAATTTTATAGACCAGTTTCAAACTAAAAATTTATTGTCAGGTAAAATACTTTAAAATGTTAAATATGGCCTAAGTAAATATGCTGAAGTCACATTTCTTTTACATTTAAATAGAAAAAAAGACATATTAGAAAATAATTAGTTAACAGTAATTTTTATTTGTATGAATTATGATAAGATTAATTCCTTTTTATAACGATTTTAAAACGATTATAAAATTCGAAAATAAAAATAAGTTATTTTTGATTCAATATTTGAATAATATTGATATTAAGCTAAATATTAAATAAAAGACATTTAAACGAATTGATACAACATAAAATAAATATTTTTAATTTAATTTAGAATAATAGTAAAAAAATGCACGTATCTATAATTTTTAATTTAAGTAAAATAATATTTAATTTTAGTTTTAAAATATATAACCATTGTTCTTGTAATATATTGGTAAGGAACTAAGAATCATAATATCATACACACACAAATATAATATACATATAACACATTATTCATTACGTATCATCCTCTCTTATTTTAAATATGATTAAAAACAAACTCAAACACGAATTTATTTATGTATATCAAAATCGGATGTAAACTATGATCATTTTTATTCTTAAATTACTTGAATTTACAATACATGTTACAAAAATTAGACTTTTTCTAAAATGTAATGATGGTTACACAAAGCATTAATAAATACAAAGAATAAATAAAACTTTAAAGATTTTCATCAGGTGACCAATATTAAAAATTCAATAATTATAATTTTTTTAATTAATTTTCATTCATAAGTGTCTAAAACTTAAAAAAACCTACGTTGAAAATAAAACATATTCAGTGTGATCACTACTTGAATTAGCTAGAATCATAACATTCGAACTCTGGGGTGGGTTAATGAATTCGGAAGATCGTAACCAACGCTAACTCAAAATATTCTAGTAATAAATAATAACTTTTTGGTATTAAGCCTCAGTGGGATTTAAAATTTAATTAAATGTATCACTTAAATGTTTTAATGAATATATTGATTTGAAATATTGGGAAAATCTTATTCAATGCTCAAAGTATATCAAGTATATTTTAACAGGACTTACTCATATTTGGGAATAGGATAACCTTGACCAGGGCACAAAAGTACAGCTGGTTCATTAACAATAAAATTATTGCCTTCAAAACGTTCTTTAGAAACTTTACCCGCAATATTTGAACGTGGTTCTGTAAATTTTGTTATTCGTGTTTTTAATAATTTTAAATTTTAATAGTGTTAGGGATAGAGAATATATACAATAAATTAATGAACATATTTAAACACATATTTTCAATAAGATTTCTCGAGAATTATGTAGTTCCCTATAATTACTAACTATCGCGAACTTTTTAAGAATAAGTGTTGTACATACCGATACACGGGAATGGGGTACCCAATCACATTACAAGTAATATGTACGGTTTTTTTAATATCAGAGGTTACTATTTTTCCACCTTCATATTTTTCACCGGGTGCTTTGGGTGATAAATTACCTGTTGGTTCTGTAAATTCATTAAGACTAAATAAATCATTATCGAGTACGTTAGATTTTGTTGTTATACCAAATAATTTGAAAGCCCAAGTGTAGGTAAGTCAAAAAAATCATTTTTTTTTGTTTAAATTACAACACTTTTTAATATTTTTAATTGTAATACTAATTAGATTCTAACTTTTGATAATATATACAAGTGCTCAATAGTTTTGAATACAATATGTAGAGAGAAAATAACTTTTTAATTTTAAATAATCAAAGAGACTCAAATAAAACTATACATTTGTAGTGCTATTTTAATTAATCTATAATTGACTTTAGGATCACAACAGTATTATACTCAATTTACATACCGAAAATAAGGACTAGGATATCCCTGAGCAGAACAAACCATTGATATATATGATTCAACCATAAATGGTTTTCCAATGAGAATCACAAGCTCTTCTTTTTTAATTTTGGGCGAAATACTTGTTTGGGGATCTAGGAATATGTACGTATATGGTTAAATAAAATAATTGTCGAGTGGTATAATTATAATTGTGGTACAATTATAATTGTCAGCAATTTCTATTTAAATGAAGCCCAAAATATTAACATATGTTATTATTAATTTACTTTTTAAAGTAATGTTTTGTTAATGTTTAGTTAGCGGTATATTTTAGTGTCATAAATCTACCTGGAAACAGGTACAGGATGACCTTGTGTTTCACTAATTAACACGATATTTTCTCCAAAAACCCCGTCAACATGGTTAAATTTTGATTTTGTTGATACTTTAGGAATAACTGTTCCAATTGGATCTATTTAACAAAACCAAAACTGGTTCAGTGTCGTTGTATATTTAATTGTATACTAAATTTTATAGCATACATATGAAAAAATTAAAATAAGTAATTTAACATTTTTAAACTATAAAGATAACTTATTTCGAAAATAATTTATTTATATAATGATCAACATTTGATTGATAGTAAATAACTAAATAAATAACCTTTTTATTTCGTTTATTTATAAATATATCAAATTATGTATGTTTTAGGTATCAAGTAAAGTTAATTTCAATACTAATACAGCCCTTTAAAATAATTAGCATAATTTGAAATTAGAATGTATAAAAATACTTTAACTAACGTTATAGAAACATTTAGTTCAAGCATCATAAATCAATACAATCTTATTTTAGGTTCAATTCATTTTATCACCTGGATTATTGTATTAAATTAAATCATAAAAAGTCTAATATAGACTAAGTATAATCATCCGAAATTTTTTTTATTATTTATATTTTAATTTTCTTGTGCTTACTTTTTAAAAATATATTATTCATAAGTCAATACATTTTTTTTTTATATTTCTTATATTTAACTTTAAGTTTTCAGAATATTTAATAATACAGTAGATCATTATATAAGATATTTACTGTCTATATTAATGTTTATATTGAAATGAAAATCCAAATTAAAAAATGCCAAAAATTAATTAGCATTTGTCTACATTTTTAATTTCTTCAAATGTATTTAACAGTAAAATACAAATATGATCAGAAATATTAATTCAATGATTTTAACTAACATCATTAAACAAAGATAAAAATTAATAACCTAGTTTAATATCATATTTATTTATCTTCACGTTAGAATTATTTAAAATCGAATTGATTTTATCAATCAGTTAACTAATTAACCATTATTTGAGTAACTAATGGTTATCCAAAAAATTTGTAATAAATATGAGTAATATTTACCGAAAATTAGGAACTGGGAAACCTTGTGCTTGACATTGAATGCCAATATTAGTATTTTGTGATCGAATATAAGCTGACATTTTTGTATCAGTTGAGAAACTAGGAGATTTCATTCCAATTGGTTCTAAGTTTTGTTTGAAACAAAAAATAAAATAAAATATGTTAACATTTTGAAATTATGAAAATATTTTCGTAATTTTTAAATTAATTTTAAACCTATTTATTTATAATTACCTTATAATTATAATTACCTTTATATTCCTTAATTTATTACCATTTGTTAATAAAAAGTCAATAATTAAAAAACAAAATATTTTGATTAATTCGATAAATTTTATTATTTACGAGGTCATTTATGTATAATGTTTAATTTATATATTATATATATATGGACTGCATTTTTAGACACAATTAAATAATTTAAATTTATTATATTAAATAGATATATCTCAGATACCTAATTTTATTTTTAAAGAAGAATAATAACGTATTTTAAGGAAATGTCCTAATTTTATTATCATCTATAATAGTATTTATCATACCGTATAGTAGCTATTGGGTAAGCTTGAACTTCACAAGAAAGAGCAACGTCAGAATACTGAACTCTTTCAAATGAATGAATTTTATCATCACTAGCAAATGTGGGTTTTTTTACACCAACGGGTTCTGTGAAGTATTATTATAATTTTTCAATATCAATTTTAAACCTAAATAAACGAACCTGAATGCAGGTATAGGATACGCTTGTATCTGACACCACAATGACACATCTTCGTTTGCATACCGAAATGCGAAACGATTTTTTTCATCCAAAGTTAATGATGGAGGTTTGGCACCCAAAGGTTCTAGATTATATAGTGTAAAAGTATATTTTAATTAATTTATTATATTAAAGGAATTTATAACAATAGCGTGTATTTATAATTATTGTACATTTTAATAATCGCTTAATAGTATAGTTTTTTTTAATTTTATTTTATAAATTATTGTTTCTTCATTTAATTAATTAAAAATAATCATTTTTTAAAATATATTTTTGAACTACCGACCTGAAAGACGGAATAGGAAAAGCCTGTGTTTGACAAAAAAGAGTTATATAATGGCCAAAATGACGTATAATTGTTCGGCTTTTATCATCTGATGCAGTAGGGGCTTTAACACCAACAGGGTCTAATAAAATTGAAATATTTTACCAAGTAAATTCAATCAAAGTATAGGCAATATCTTATATTATTCCACAATGTCAAAGTTAGAAAATAATTATAAGAAAAATTACTTTTATAAATCATAATTTGATTATAATTATTTTGGCTTACCGAGATATAGGAACAGGGAAACCTTGTGCTAAACACAGTAGACCGATCCCTTTTTTAATTTGTCTGTCTATCCAAGTACGTTTTATATCAGATGATAGTGAAGGTGCTTTAACACCAACTGGTTCTATAAGAATTGATGTTTATTTTATGATTATTAAATTATTTCTAACCTGAATGCTGGGATAGGATATCCTTGGGCGTCACATAGAAGATTTAAGTCAGCAAGAGACTTCATTTTAAATTTATAAGTTTCTGACTTAGCAGAAAACGTGGGTGATTTTAAGCCCACTGGTTCTAAAACGTATAGTATAATAATAAGCATTTAAATTATCACACTTATTGTCTCACCTGAACTCTGGGATAGGGTACCCCTGAGATTGACACAATAAAACAATAGCATTCATAGAACTTTTTCTTACACGAGTCCCTTCAAAATCTGTAGATAATGTAGGAGATTTAAATCCCACAGGTTCTAAATAAAAATTTAAAAAATCATATACTTAAAGGTTTCAAATTTAATATCTGAATGTTGGAGATAAGGAAAATGTAAAATTCTACAGCTGAGTTGACATTTAATAATTTAAAAATAAATGTTATTCGTTAATTTAAATTAACACAATTTAAAGATAAAATGGTTGTATTTTTATAAATTTTTATATTCAAACATTTATTATTCATGACATTGCAATAGTTCATACTTTCTATATATTAATAATACTGTAGTAGATCCAAGATACGAAAATATAAAACCATAATTACCATGATTAAAATAAAATTACAAAGACATATGACTTAAGGACATATGAAAAAAAAAAAAATTCAACAACATTTTTCAAAATATTTTATAAGAATACATCTCATATTGATTTAATATCTCAGTTTCTAAAACAGATAATATAAAAATGTATTTTCTGTACAACGCTATAAGATCGGAATTAGTACTAAATATATTTGGCCAACCATATAATAATGGATTTTCAATCTACTCGTATAGTAGGTATACTCATTTTTTTTTTTTTTGTTTATTTTAAAATACCATTGAAACTTGAATTCCAAATTTTTTAGTTTAACAAGTTTTTAAATTTAAGAATTTCTAAGACTAATCAAGTGACTTTATAGATAGACACAACTGTTTTCAAATTAATATAAAAAAATTATTTTTGATTTTTGATTTTAAAAAATACGCTATTGCCTACAATAAGTAAATATAAAAATTAATATGCAATCATTTATGCATTTAATTTTAATTAAACTTAAAAATAATAAATAACATACATATAATGCTAATGAAAAAGTTATGTCATTTATCAAATTTATAAGAAACTAAATTTAAAGTAAAGATATTATTAACAGTTAACTTTCAATACTATAAATACAAGATTCTCACTTAAAATCAGGTACAGGATATCCTTGTGATTGACATAATAAAATAATTGAACTTTTAATTCGTTTTTTTAACCCTGTGCTAGAGAAATCTGATGACAATGTAGGTGCTTTATAACCAATAGGTTCTGAAAAATGTAATATGCTTTAATTCTGATATAGAATAATATAAATACTTATTTTTTATAAATCCAACTGTCAGTGAAAGATTTACCCTACGACTGTCAAATTTTAATTAATTTAAATAAGGTATATTATAAATATGAGATTTATAGTTTAATTAAAATCCAATAGGAAATTATTGCCATTAATTTGTCTCACCTATGATCAGGTACTGGATAGCCTTGTGATTGGCACATTAAAACAATATCAGATTTTGCTCGACGGTTAAATATAGCGCCCTTTGAATCGGATGAAAATGCAGGCGATTTTATTCCTACAGGATCTAAAAGTAAGTAGATAGGGAAAATACTAACACAAAATCAAATTTAAAAACCATTTTAACCAAAATGTTGGAATAAAATAAGCTTACATTATTTATTATATTACGAGTATTAAAGGTGAATTAAATATAGGTAGATCATTCAATAACAAAATTAACAATATTTAAAATAAAAAAAACATGTTTATTTATCCAAAATTATATAAAATATATAAAATTAGCTAACAATTAACATTGTGGAATAATCTCACCTGAAACTTGGGGCAGGGTACCCTTGAGCCATACATAATACGGATATATCGTTACCAGATCGTTTTCTATACCTTGCACTTTCTGCATCAGATGAAAACACTGGTGATTTTAGACCTACTGGTTCTATAAATTAGATCAAACATATTTTTATTTTTAATTCCTAACCATACCTGAATAAAGGAACAGGATAGCCTTGAGCTTCACAAAGTAAATTAATACTGTGCGAACTTTTTTTCTTAAACCGGGATGTTTCATCCTCGGATGGAAATGTAGGCGCTTTTAGACTAAAAGGTTCTGGAAGAGAAAAATGTATTTCCCAAATAGACTATTTATTTATTTAACTATACTTTATTAAACAATAATTTTAATTTACTACTCGTGTAAGTGGCATATGCACTATTATTTACAAGAACTTATACATTTTAATGCAATTTCAATAAAATAATAAGAGTCTTTTTTAGTGTTACCTGTATTCTGGGGCTGGGTACCCTTGTGCCGAGCAAAGTAAAGAAAGATGTTCTGATACACTTTTAACAAACCAACTGGACTTTGAAGAAGATGAAAATGTAGGAGACTTGAATCCTACAGGTTCTGTTAATCCCCCCATGAAAATATAACGAATGAGTTGATCGAATATTTTACCTGAATGTTGGTACACCATATCCCTGGGCTAAACACAACAAACTAATAACTTGATCCATTTTTTTCACATAGGAAACTGATTTAGCCTCAGATGGAAAACTTGGTGCTTTTAAGCCAACGGGTTCTATAATTGAAACCAAAATGTTTAATTTAAATAAAAACGAAAGAAGTGAAACGACTGATGTTAGAACAGGGAGTCTACTGATATCATTAAAACTCAAGAACAAAGACTAAACATTATTCGTTATTTCTATTATACCAATGCATACATATATAAATATATATATATATATGAGTATACCTATGCATGGGAACTGGATACCCTTGTGCTGGACATAACATGTCTACAGTTTGTAATAATCTTGATTTGAAAGATTCTGCCATCAACGGAAATTTAGGAGCAGTTGAACTTACTGGTTCTATTATTTTTAAATTAAAGTATAACTTAATTATAAATATTTATAATATCCAACCCACCTTGCAATTGGTACAGGGTACCCCTGTGCAGGACATAACATATCAAATGAACTATAAAGATGAATTTTAAACCCTTGAATGTTTGTCGTTGACGAGAATTTTGGAGCTATACTAGTCATAGGATCTAAAATTAAATTATATATAAGACTTTGATATACGTAAATGTACAATAACCATAAATGGAATAATATTAATAGGTCATAAAAATTCGAACTGTTCTTACAAAATGGACAGTTTATTAGATACTAAAAAAAAGCATACTTGAATACTAAAAATGATTTCCTCATCTTACCAATATGTTTAAAATTAATTTATGTCATTTAAATTCTAGTCTTACCTGTATGTTGGTACTGGATGACTTTGGGCAGAACAAGTTATCGCAATACTTTTTTCTGATTTGAACTGATAACTTTTACCAGTTTCCAAAGAAGCGAATTTTGGAGATGAACTACCCACGGGGTCTAAGAAGTTTAAAAGTATTGTCTATTGTTAAGTAAATTAAGAAACATAATGAAATTCCTATTCGTTAAAAAAAAAAAAAAATGTTTGAATAATATTAATCTGCACAGCTGGGTTGTGCTTTAATGTGTCGCAAGGGTACCCTATCCCAACATTCAGGCTTCATTTTTTGAACACACATTTTTCGTATTACAAGTTTTAAAAGCATTTACATTTATAAGATATTGTATTTTTCTATAAACAGTACAAACAAATATAAAATAATTTTTATTGTACATGAGTAATAAATAAATAATATTATTATAAGATAACTCATTATATAATAATATCATTTGAGATATGGTAAGAAAAACTTGAAAAACTGAAGAATGTGAGTTCAGATTATAATTAAAAAAATAATAAATACAAGCAAAATATTTATTTAGATCATTGGTGCATTTAACGTTAAAAATTAAAAACTGTATAACATACTATACATTTAGGTATTTAATAAATTCTATTTTAATAACACATAATAAATGCAACATTGATCTTAAACTAAATATATTTAAATTAACATACTACATAGCCAAATTTATATTACTAAAAATCCACAGTTTTTTTGATCTTGAATTTAAAAGTTTTTAAATTTAAAAATGTTAAATTTCTTTTTTTTCTTTATTGCTATTATGAAATAATTTAGTTTGTAAAAATAAAAATTCAGCTATTGGTAGTTGATTAAGTAAAATATATTGGTAAACATTATATTGTATTATATTAAAAAAAATTGAAAACATTCATTGTTTAATGTAAACAAATTGTTCATAAAGTTGTCAATTAAACCCAACTGTTAATTTTAAATTAATTCCATATTCAAAATAATCCTGTACATAATTATTTTTATTAATCAAATATGTAGGATAATAGCGAGAATTTAACAATGTATAATACATATAAATTACCAATATATTTTTAAATATAAGATGCATAAATATTGTTTACTAACCTGTGATAACTAATCTTCCTTTGGTTGCACTAAGCCTTGTTTCTCCAGTTAGTCTATGTTTAGTTCGACATTGATAAGACTTAGTTCCATCCTCAGGTGTTACATCACGAATATGTAATTCTCCAGAAGGTAATACCAAATATTTTCCATCTTTAAAATATTTAAGAAAGAATAATATAAATATTTTTTGATGGTTTTATTTATTTTGCAAAAGCATAGAAAGGAAAAAAAAATTAAAAGAGATTTCAGATAATCGAAATTAAATAAAAACTAAAATAAATTATGAATATATAATAACATTTATTTTTTATTTAAGTTAAAGAATATAAAATTTAATGAAATCTCTTATAATCGATGCAAAATATAAACAATAATAATGTAATAATTTAATTTTTAATGTAACGTACGAGTATATATCCATATACCCAATTATATATAATCTTGCATCAATTATTTTAAAATTTAAGCAAAAGCATCGAACAACTGAACAATAATTTAATCTTTATACTATGAATTGTCTAATTAATTTAAAGTTCAATGGTTTACATATTAAAATTAAATTAAAATATGAACAAGCTTCAATGGAATTTATAAGCTTATACCTTATAGTTTTAAAGTGTAAAGAATAAATTTGTTCAGTGCTCACTTACTGTACTACACATTCATTCATCACATACATACAGGATTCAAAGGTATATATAGGAAAATGATAAAAATACTTGGAGAAAAAAGGAAAACCGCAACGTACCCTTGTCTTAATTATCTCGAGATAAACTAACCGAATTTTAAAAATGATGTAAACCTAATAAAACTGAAAAATATAAAGAATATTTTTAATTTTCAATACCATATGCTTGATTTGAATTAACTGAATACTCATCACCATCATCAGAAGTCCAACCAGATACAAACACATAATCAGCAACGAAACTAGGGATATGACATTTCAATATAGCAGTATTTCCACGAAGAATAGATTCGTCCATTACATTAACAGTGTAAAGTTGATTGACCACTAAAAATAGACACAAATATTCAGAATAATCAAATAGATGTTGAAAAAAATTATAAAAATGAATTGACATCAATGATACACTAAAACTCTAACACACCAGTTAATAGAATATACATAGATACCATATTTGTATGAAATTTACAATTTTTGAAATATTGATGACTGAGGATGGAAATAAAGGAAGTATTTTTTAAAATAATGTTTAATTATATTTAGAGATAATAGTAATAAACATTACTACCGAAATTCTCATCGAGAGAAACAAAGTATTTATTTCCATCAGTATCTTCCCAAGATATAACAGAAACATAATCAGCTACAAATGACGGAACAATACACTTAAAAATTGCAGTATTGCCTTTGATAACATACATATCGTATAAAATGGCTTCATAATATTGATTCACAGCTGAAATTAGTTTGAATAATACACTTTTAAGTTTTTAAAAATGTAAGTAATAATAACTTATGTATCTGATAACAAAATAAGAATAGATATACGAATAGATTTATCAAATTTAATTGATAAAATAAATTGAGAATTACTCAAATTCTGTGTATACAAAACTGAATAGGAAATTTTAAAATTAAAAATGATTGTTTATACTAGTAGAACCATCGTATACCAAATGTATACGTCTGATGATGGAAAATTGATAATAAACAGAAAAACTAATTAGATTATTACATTTAACTATATTATAAAACCAAAGAATAATTGTGAATAGCAGTGATAAAAATATAGATAGGAAAATATGTAATCATTCATTCAACATAAAGAGTAAAAATTTCTATGAAGTCTATATAAAATCAAAAATTCTACCATGATCTGCAATATTTTGGGTAAAATACTTTTCACCGTTTGTGGCTTCCCATGATTCAACATATAAATAATCGGACACAAATGAAGGTACAGAACATTTAAAAATAGCTGTATTTCCTCTAATTACAAACATATCATAAACTTGAGCTTCATAATATTGACTTACAACTGAAAGGTATAAAATATACAAAGAAGCACATATTTTATTTTTCAAAAATAGTATTATATTATAAGGACAAGAAATGGAAAAATAATATTTTTTACTCGACCACACGTTCCAAAGTATAGTTTGAACACAAACCCATATCAAATTGATTTATAGTAAAAGATTCTCCAAACTCAGATACCCATTCTATAATTTCAAGAAAGTCTCCTATGAAACTGGGTACTATGCATTTTAACACAGCTGTATTTCCTTTTAATACAAACTCATCATTTACACGAAGCTGATATGCTTGTTCAACAACTAAATAAAATAAAATGCGGAAATAAATATTTAATATTTCTTAGCAATATATATTTCCATAATGTATCGGGCGTATCCTAGTTGGGTCCCACATAATATTTATGAAAACAAAACAACTAATCAGGTCCGATTATAAAAACGATAATACACGAGTTCGATCCGACTATAAAAATCGGCTGTATCCGAATTGAGTCCTGAATTTAAAATGACTACACTATTTGGGTCGGGAATTATTTTAGGTACTACACTAAATGGGTCCTGAATTATTTTAGGTACTACACTAGTTTCTGAATATTTTTTAGTAAGTACTATATTAGGTATACTAATATTTTCCTTCCCATTTTAACTTAGAACTGTCTACGATTTATTCAGACTACAAGTACCTATGGTTAAAAATGTTTTTTATAGTTTTTTTTTGTTTTTTAGTTTTTTTTCCATTAATTTTTATTTATATTATATAATGATTTTATCATTTTTAATATTTTTACCAATACAACTGTAATAATTTATATTTTAATGGAAAAGAAACTAAAAAAAAAAAAAAAAAATTATAAAAACATTTTTAACCATACCTGTGGTCTAAATAGATCATAAACAGTCATAAGTCTGTTAAAATGGGAAGGAAAATGTTAGTATAATATAGTACTTACTAAAAAATATTCAGGAACTAGTGTAATACCTAAAATAATTAAGGACCCAACTAGTGTACTACCTATAAAAATCCAGAACCCAACTAGTACACTACCTGCGATTAGCACCTAGTACTCAAAACCCAATTCGGATGCTCTGTAAAAATCACAACATACTAGTTCGGTACGACCACTACGAAAATAAAACCTGTAACCTACAAGTATTGATACACTTGATAATGTTAAAAAATTAATAGAATTGAGTTTTTAAAAGCTCTGTCATTTAAATGTTTACCAATTGTGTATTTTTTTTTAATTTTTTAATTTTAATTTTATTTATTTATCATATACTAGTATTCTAATTTTAAATTTATAATTATATACCATATATTAGAAACTTAAAAAAAAAAAATCATACTTGAGTTCTAATTTATAAATAACTGACAGTCCTAAATCTATAAAAATGAGAAAGGTTTTTTTTTTTTTCGCATGGACTCAACTAAAGTAGTACTTGTAAAATCATGGAACCCAACTCGTGTACTACCTGAAAAACACTGAGACTCAACTAGTGTACTACCTGAAAAAAACTGGGACCTAACAAGACCAAATAAGGGTCTTCGTGAACCAACTAGTAAACGTTGAATTTATCCACCGGACTATGAGCAATTAACAAGTATTAAAAATCGAATAGGGAACAAGTATAAGCCATTCATATTTACAGTCGAACTATACAGTGTTAGTATAATAACATGTTAGTACCCTGTTTATTAGCAATCAATCCAATATTGTTTCCATCATCATATATCCACCCTAAAATTTGAACAAAATCCGAAACAAAACTTGGTATGAGACATTTAAAAACCACAGAATTCCCAAGTAGAACGTACTCATCGATAACTCGAGTTTGATAAAACTGATTTACCACTGTATAAAATGAAAAATGTACAGTATGTATTATTTAAATTTATAGTAAAATAATGTATACATTTTTATTCAACAAGTTTGATGTTTTGATGCTTGAAGATAATCAAATTAAGACAGAATGGTGAGTTACGAGTAAAATTAATGAAATGTAATACAGGATAACAACAATGTACCACAACCGCAGCAATATTTAAAGCAATATAGATTACATTAATATATAATGTAAATTTATGTCTATACCATAATCATTTTCAGGGTAATACGACTTTCCTGTAGAGTCTACCCAATAAGTGACCAAAACAAAATCAGCAACGAAACTTGGTATTTCACATTTCATTATGGCACTATTTCCACGAATAACGTATTCATTATCAGCCTCAGCTTCATAAGATTGATGAATAACTGATAAAACGTAATCGCAATTAGAACAATTATAATGCTCAAAAAATATTTAAATCTGAATACTCTCAATCAAAATATAAAAGATAAAGAACCCAATGACTTAAATGATAATAGGTATAATAAGGAGAATAAACAAACGTTCAAAATAGGTAATTATTATATATTATGAACTCTTACAATTGTTATTTGTATTAAATAACGTATAAGTAATATCATTATCGGATATCCAAGCATCCACAGAAACAAAATCGGCAACAAAACTTGGAATTTTGCATTTAACTATTGCAGTATTTCCACGTATAACATATTCATTTTCTGCTTCAGTAATATAGTTTTGCATCACCACTATAAAATGAACACTTGCAAGATAAACAGTAAAGGAAATATTGTGTACTAAAACTCTAAACTCTAAGATTGGTGAAGTTATGGATCATAAGGATAACTGCTGACATTCAAAAAACTTCCCTTTCATAATTTTTGGATTAAAAGTTTGTTTACTTTTAATTGAATCTTTAGTATACGTTTGACCCTCGCTCGTCACCCAAGCTTCGACTGTAATAAAATCAGCTACAAACGAAGGTAAATTACATTTCAATATTACTGAGTTTCCTCGAATTACGTACTCTGTAGGCATCAATTCTGATTCGTAGTTTTGATTTACAACTATTTCAAAAATTCATAATATTTATTTGAACAGAGAAAAAATACATATTTATAGAATGCGGATTTAATGGATTTCAAAATCCAAAGGATTAGTTATTACTGTTATTTCACTGAACACAGTACACTCAATTATTCCATAGTAATTCCTACCATATATATCACTAAAATATCGATATTCCTGACCATCAGATGATATCCAAGATTCAATTGAAACAAAATCTGCCACAAAACTAGGCACTTTACATTTGATAACTGCAGTGTTACCAAGTATTATATATTCATCTTCAGCTCCAGTTACATAATTTTGTAAAACAACTGTAAAATGTACGTTTACATAGAAATGTGTATTATTAGTACAAACTAATGGATGAACCAGAATACATAACTTAGGCTAAACTTTAAAAGTACTTGTTTTACATAATAAATTATAAAAAATGCTATAAATGAACACACTTCAACAAATTTTCGTTTCTCGTTTAAATCAAAAATCCAATTCTACAGTTTAATTCCTAGATAAATGACGATCATTATTAGTATTTAATTATTTAAGTTTTAAAATGTTTTAAAATACCGTTTGGAAACATATGAGTGATCTGAAAACTTCATAAAATAAGCAACTTAACAGTATTTCAAATAGAAATTATAACATAATACCTGGATATAATTAATTAAAATATAAAATTTGGAAAATAAATGTTTAATGTATGATCATTTGAAATAAAACCTTATAATCCACGTTTTATAACTAATTTCATTTTATTGTGATGATACGTTATTCTAAAAGCAAACTTAGGAAAATACCCCAAAAAAATCCATTACTACTATAGGTAAAATGTGTTTACAAATTTGCATTAAAACTCGAATTATTGATCGTATATTCCAAACGAAATTTTATTTGGATTATGAAATGTATAAAAATTAATTTTTAAATTCTGGGCACAAACGTTTACTTTATAAATAATAATACCTATTTATTAAATATTTTTATCTAATTCTGTTATTTATTGTATGAATTAAATGTTTTTAATCGAAATAATAATTACAAACACCCACTCTTAAAAATGTAAACAATATGATAATTTACTTATATTAATTATTAATCAATCACACATTTTTAACGCGGTTTTATTTTCAGATCTTAAGGATTAGGGTTAAGGATATGTATATTTTAAACATCCTGAATTGACCATTACAAATTACAACCTACCATAACCATCATTTAAGTTATGGAATTCTTGGCCATCGGAGGATATCCAAGAATTTACAACAACGAAATCTGTGACAAATGAGGGAATAGTACACTTTAATATAGCTGTATTACCTCGTATCACGTACTCGCTTATCACTTCGGAGGCATAATCCTGGTTAACAACTTTAGAGAACATAAATAAATTATACAATTCGAAATATAAAACATTCCTATAGAACATTAAAAACAACAAAATGTTATTTTTATAAGTTTGAAAAAAAACTGATCAGAAGTATGAAGTTTAGATTTTATTAATTAAAGCTAAATTAAGTGAACATTTTTAACTAATAATTATTATTTATACCATCAAATATAGTGGAAAAGTAATTTAAATTTGTATATAATTTGTTGGTATTATTTAACATAATACCATATGCGTGGTATCATATAGTTCAAACAAAATTGCCAAATATAATACGTACGATAAAAAATAATGATACCTAGTTTAAGTAGCATAATTAAAATTACCCTACTAATTTCATTCTACAAAAATTTTAATTAATTTACTTTTAAATTTGTTTCAAAGGTACGTATACGGAATGTGATTTTAAACATTTTTATTTATACAAATAATAAATGTACCCAAATTTTCCTAAAATACCTTCGGTATTATCATGATTGATTGTATATTCGTTTTCTGAATTATCATTCCATGATATAACAGACACAAAATCGGCCACAAATGATGGTATGCTGCATTTTATAACGGCCGAATTACCCCGGATCACATGTTCATTATTTACTTCCACCAAATAATTTTGCGTGACCACTGACCATAAAAAAGTAATAATAATAATATCCTTATATAAATTAATACCAAACCATGAATTACATAAATATTAAGAAATTCAAAAATAATATATATATATATATATAACTGTTGAGATAATTTTAATAAAGTGTTCGATCGGCGCATATTGTATAGAAACGCAAAAACCTAGAATATGTTAGAGAGTGGATTTCGCTGTCGTGAAATAACTTTAATTGAATGACATATATTCTTTACACGCACACGCACACATGGCTTAATTTGCAAATACCATAGTTAGACTGGGTTGACATAGGGAGAAAAATGTTTCCGGCGTCATCTTGCCACGATACAACTGACACAAAATCAGCAATGAAAGGCGGTATACCACATTTTAACACAATAGAATTGCCTCTAATAACATATTCCAAGCCAACATCACTTCTGTATGGTTCTTGTATCACTAAAATATATGTTAATTTATTTAAAATAACTAATATAAGTTAATTAATAATTTAACAAGTTATTGTATACTTGATACATCGTAATAGTTCAAGAAGGTGAATTCAAAAAAATTTGAAATATGTATTAAAAATATAACATCAAACAAATTGAATCAAAGGACTCTAACAAAAGATTAAAATTCAATTCAGTCAAATTCATAAATTTTTGTAACTATTTATACCATTATTTTTAATTCCATTTTTATCGTTATTACAGTAATTATTACTGACCTCATCGATCTAAGAAATAACAGAGACAAAATCCGTGCATTTTAATAATAATGAGTTCCTTCTCAACGTATATTCTGAACTAACGTCACTTCTATGTGATTCCCCAATAACTAAACTCATTTATTTTAAAAAAATACCACTAGTCAATGGATATGAAAAGAAAATTATGACGCATGTAAAATATAGGATATATCAATAACTTCTAAATAGTAACACTTGTAACAAAATTGGTGTATTAAAGCAATACCATAACTGTTTGTTGGGTTTACAGTATTTCCATCATTTAAGGATACATAGTACATGTTTCCAATATTATCTTGCCAGGACACCACGGTCACAAAATCCGCAATAAACGGTGGAATGCTACACTTTAATACAACTGAATTTCCCCGTATAACGTATTCATTATTTACTTCACTCCTGTATAATTCTTCAATTACTATACAAACAAATTAAACCATAAATTCAATTGTGTACAAAGTTTTTACAGAGATATCAATAGGAAATGAGTAGAAATTCGTAAGGAAGCATTCTAAATCAGTTATCACGCGTATAATGATCATATCCAATTCAATACCATAATCTATTCCGGGGTAAAAATTGTCACCCTTATCGGTACTCCAAGATAATACAGCAACGAAATCAGCAACAAATGATGGAATACCACATTTCATTACAACAGAATTACCTTTTATCACCGGTTCTTTATTCACGTCTACTTCATAATATTGACTAACAGCTAAAGCAGAATAAATAATAAAAATATTGTAGAAACTTAGATTAATAGGTTTTATTGGATACAATAGGAAACATTGGAATTTCAATTAAAATACAAATTTAATAAAAATAGGTTTTAAATAAACTCGTACTGCATTCACACTATAAAATGAAATACCATTATTATTGCCAGGATAAAATACATCTCCATTATCAGTATGCCATGAAATAACAGTTAAGAAATCTGCGACATACGATGGAGTCTCACATTTCATTATCACAGAATTTCCCCGAATCACGTAAGCTTTATTGACATCGGTGTCATAAAATTGTGTGACAACTAGAAGAAACACAGTATTAAATTAATTGAAATGTTTTGAAGATACAAGAGTGAAGATTATCTGTGATATTATGTACGTGTTTAGACGGAAAAAAAAGAAAAAATTTAAAAGTGGCTATTCATGTTTACAAATCTAGATACTTGATACATTTATGAAGGATATGTGTCGCTGCAAATAAATATTCAAGAATCTAGGGCGCTTAACAGAGTGCATATTTTTAAATGTAAATAAACATTTACTGTCACATTAAGCTTCTTGATATTTGGACAAGAATCATCTAGGAAGAGTACATTCAAACTTTATACACACTGATCCTCATACCATAATCAGATCCTAGAATATATTCCGAATCATCAGTAATCCACGATATAACATGTACGAAATCAGATACGTATGAAGGTACTTGACATTTCATTACAGCTGAATTACCTCTAATAGCAAACTCTTTAATGACATCAATTTCGTAATTTTGTGCAACAACTAAGAATAACAATAAACATGAATATTTTAAGAATAACTATCAATTCAGAGAATAATAAAAACCAACAATTATATCCTTTGCTGTAAATAAACATTTGAATTAATAGTATACAGGGTTTCAATTATATATAAAAACTAAATTTATGTAAATAGGTACTTAAATTTATACATAATAATATTAGTTCATAATAAAGTAAATATTAATAATACTTATGTGTATAAAATTAATGTAAAACTACGAGCTGTATAGACGCAATTAGAAATACAATCATTTTTATTATTATAAATAATAAAGCACTAATAAAAAAAAATTTGGTAAATACCTATAAATTAATTTTTTAGCTAATAAATGTATAATAGTATATACATTATACTATATCAAATATATATAAATACTCATAGATATATAGTTTTTGCATATATTTTCTTGATGTTTGGTATGTTTACTTTTTAAGAACATTGAACGTATGTCGAAAATAACTTTTGTGAATAATTTTGGAAATGTTCCCAATTCCAGAAAACAAAAAATAATTTATAATTTATAAACTTCTAGAAAATAAAGCTTATTTATACAGTCAAATTACTACTAAATGTTTTAAAATATTCAGTTTGAATACATAAAAATATTACATTTAATATAAATATTTATTCATTATTTTATAAAACTTGTTTAAAATTGGAATTTTCATATTAAATATAATATGAGTTTTGAGAATTTAGCTACTCATAGTATTTACTTTAATTTAAAATATTAAAATAATACACATTAGGAGTATTTAAAAAAAATTGAGCTCAGAATTATTGAAAGTAATAATACACATTACACCAAAATCAATATTCGTGTCTTTATTTTACAACCATATAATTTGAATAAGAGTATAACCAATATATACTATAAAAATAGCTACTGTTAATAATATTTTAAATTTTTAATATTTTTAATTTTATATTTGTGCATAATATCTAGAGACGTATATACGTTTATTTTTGAAATCTTAGAAAATTCGTATAATTATGTTACTTATAAAATTACTAGATAAAAAAGATGTTGAACATCGGTTTGATTATTGTATTATAAATTTAAACTGAAAATAATGCGTTAATATAATATAAATGTCAAATGAAAGGGTTACCTATTAAAAAAAAAAAAAAAATATGAATACCATATAGGTAATAATTAATTGAAAAAATTTAACTAAGTTTACATACCAGCTCGAACATTTACATCCCTAGAATGTATTACTCCAACACGATTTTTCGCCATACAGATATAAACTTGAGCGTGTACTTCTTGTTTATAATCTTCTGCTCGAAAAGGTGGGAATACTAAATTTCCATCTCCTTTCACCTACATTAATCATAAGAACGAGTAATTTTAAGCAAATTAGTAAATTGTTTTGGCTACGTTCTTTGATTCAAGAAATTAACGATACTTTTGAATAAAACCTCATACATGTTTTAAAAATATTTGATTTTTTAAAATATATAAATTTATTTAATGATAATTTTGTTTAACATTTTTAATAATTTCCTAATAATTTATTTAATTCTTTATATGATTCTTACTTGTCGTAATCCAGGCACGTCTCCAACAGCAGTACCGTCAGCTCGAATCCAAATAATTTCAGGCCTAGGACTTCCTCTAGCAGTACATTCAACGGTAGCTCCAGTCGTATTTGAAAAGTCCACTCGGTTTTCTGGTTCTTTGATAAACATTGGTCCCATAGTTGTATCATCTTCACACAACACTATAACATAAATAAAAAAAATTAAAAAATTAAAGTTATATTTAAATTGAAATATCAATTCATACAATAAGTACCAAATAAAAATATGTAGTGAAAAAAATTATGTGAAAACAAATTTATACTGAGTTGTAGTTTTTTTACTGTTTAATATCTAATAAAAAATATTATGCTGATAAAATTGAATTGGCATACAAAACATACAAAGCCAATAGTATAGCTAACCATGTTTTTCAGAAACAGTTACTTCTGGACATAAGGGTGGGTGGTGGAAAGTTATTTAGTCACAGTAAGAAAATTGTATAAGTAGTATAAGTATAATTAAGTATGATTGGTGGGGTGAGGTAAGTCATTAATACATTTTTTGCTTCTATAGTTCACTACGCCACAATATATTTGATTAATAAAATAAGTACACTTCAATTTAAAATAATGATCATGGTACTGATAGTATTCAATAGTTACTAATAAAATTAATTTAGTAAACTTTTTATATATATATTATATTATAGTTGTGTGTAATTATATAAACCATTCCAAGTTACCAAATAATATCATATAGGTAAATTTAGCCCATTTAATTAATAAATTATATTATTTACAAGGTAAACAAAAATTAGTAGTCATGGATGGGGTATGAGCATAGATAATAACTATACCCTAATATAAATACAAATAAATACAAATTAAGTTTTTCCCCATTCATTTCAAAATTGCTTGTTATGTACCTAATCGAAAATAATAATAAATAATAGCATAAATTAATAATTAATAAATAACTAGGTCTATTTTCACTAAATATAGTAAGGCTTTTTTTATATTAAAATAAGTATCAAAATCTTAGACTTTTAAAAGATTTTTTTTTTATATAAATATAATCGAAAATTCATTTAGGTACCTACATTATCAATATTTATCTAATTTATAATACGTAAAGAGACTATTAATTTTAGTTGAAAATGATATATTTTATTTTATTTTATTTATTTTAGGAGCTTAAACATTCAACAAAAAGTAATACGCATCTTAATAATAGAAAAAAATAGTACTAATTTTACAATCAATGACAAACAACATGAAAATGTTGTGTATGCATATATATTTATGTAAAAAAATACATTTAATTCTGCATCACTTTTGAATAAAAATAATTTACTAAAATAAAAACTTAATACGCACGTACCACACAATTATAACAGTTGTTAATATACAATTTTAACTATGTAAAATATTAATATTATAAACACTTTAGTTATATATATATATATGTATGTATTATCGAATCGTTATTAGAATAACATCAGCAGCTTATTACTCAGAATAAAAATTAACTATACATAAATGCATTTTATAGTTCAACACAACGTATTGCACAGTGCGATTAAGTTTTATAAAGCTGTCTAGTAAATAAATGTAGTTATCAGTTTTATTTTCTGCGAATAAGAACCCTAAAAGAATATTTAAAACACTTTAAATACTTACTAAATTTATTTGTACACAGAATAATTCAGATTATGAATTTAAAAATCAATAATAAACATAATACCTATTTTAACATCATAATTCAATACTTTGCAACTAAATTAATATTTTTTATTTTATATAAAATTATTATAATTATTATTATTATTATTATTATTATTATTATTATTATTATTATTATTATACTTAGGTACTTAAAATGTCAAATATGTTATGATGATATTATTTTTAACGTTACAAATGTCTAACAAGGAAAACTTCTCATATAATTGTCAGTACAATGAAATCCTTTTATATCATTTATGCTCTGTAGATTACGCTTAATATGTTATTGTTAAGTTATTGAACTTAATTCATAAAAATGAGGTTAATATGATACATAGTTTAAAATTTAATTTTAACACTACAAACAATTATACCTCACTTAAAACATTTGTATACTAAGTATTTAAAATTAAAATGTGTTCATAATAATTTATCATAGTGCGTTGCACTTAAAAAATGATCTTAAATACTAACAGTCTTACAATAAGTGGCAGTTAATACACCATATTAAATTTATTGAATATAATTATAGAAACTAAAATATATTTGAGATTTTATATACAAAGTAGTTTAAGAAAACAAAAATATTAATATTCCTACTGACAAAGTACAGAAAAATAAGACGTTTTATCAAATAAATTATTTAATCAATTGTTTAATAGCGTGATATTTTTAGAGATATACGAGTACCAAATATTATAGTTATAATATGGTTATTGAAGATGAGCTTGCAGATAATCATAAAAAATATATACACTGAAGTCTGAAATAAATAGTCCCAAAAGCGAAATATAACTGGCTGTCGCCCGTTGTTGAATTATTTGTGACATCTGTTCTCTGTATGAGGTATATAACTAATAAAAATAACGTCTTTTTTATCACATCTTATACTTATTTTGATTAAGAAATAGACACACTATTTTAAAACGAACCACAATATTATTTAAGACATATTTCTTAATTTATAAAGGTATAACCATTTAAAGTTGAAGTCTTATAAGATAAGAATTGTTTATAAATAAACTAAAGCCATAGGTTGAAACAATGCTATACAGAAGTGTTGAAAATAAGATGTAAAATACGAAAATAAGTAAATAATTTAAATGATGGTCAACACACAAAACTGTACATCAATTTAATTTTTTCTACCAAATAATTACATAATAAATATAATATTTAATATAGTTGTACTTCATTTTAGAATAAATATAGATAAATTTAAATAATCATAAATGTATGAAACCTATATAATATAGATAGTAGTATCACTCAATTATTAAATTAATTGCAAAGCTGATATAAAAAATTAGGAATTAAATGGATCATTATATTAATAAAATATAATTACCTCATATAATAATACAGATGTAATTTTATTATTATATTTGTCGAACAATATTATGATTATTTCAGAAAAATTAGATTATACATTTTAATTAAATTGGATTGTATCTAATATTTAAGTAATATACTAAATATTATCTTGAAGTCTAAATAATTAAATCAATTTTTTTATTTTTGAAATAAAATAAAATTATAGCAATAAAACTCTAATGTTATTTAATATTTAAGCAACGTATTAATTCAAAAGTATCCAAAATAATTATCTAACTACTGTGAACACTAATATCTGAAATGAGTATGGACCATGGTAATTTCTTTTGATTGTGTTTTATTAGAAAATTGAGTTCAAAATATAAAATCACGGGTTATCGAGGGTATCTGTAGTTTGTATAGAATAAAATATAAAAGCTAAATTTTATAAGTAGAATAAATATATACAAGTTTTTGTATGAATAATATGAAAGCATAAATGAAAACCGCTTTGCATCTTATATTTACTCAAAAGTGCAAAATTTAAGATATAATTTATTGATATTATAATAGCATCAAACAGTCTATATATTTAAGACTATTCATAATACCAGAGTTATTTTTAGGACAAGCATTTAATTTTAATATTGTCTTTAAAATAGTAATAGGTACGAGTATTAATTTTATAACGGTTCTCGTAAGGGAATAGGATAAATTTCATTATAATTACATTTATATATGTATATATATATATATGCATAATTTAATCTATATTTGAAAGCGATGTATGTGGGTATAACAAGTAATTTTCAAGGCTGAAATACACTAAACATGACTAATAGAATGGCATAGTGAAGGAAAACAAATGTATGCATATCTCCAATAAAATATATCATACACATATCTATAAATAAGTACTTAATATAAATTTAAACAATGATATGATGGAAGTACTACGTATTTTATAAATTACATTTTTATTTAGCATTTCCAAAAGAAAATACATGCAAGTATTTAAAACAAAACTAATTAGGGTTACATTCTAGCATATTTTTTGTACTTACACTAATTTATAATAACGTTATGTTCTTTTTTTTTTAGTTATACGTAGGTTTATTAACAATCTTTTAAATATTTATATGAGTTCAATATACTATAAATGTTAAAATGAATGAAATATTTTTTACTTTTCACTTTTGTTTTTTTTTTTTATTTTTTTCTTCCTTTTTCTACTATTATAAAGTCATTACACCAATTGAATGATAAATTAATAAATAGTAGTAATGACGGTAACTTAATAACAAACTATATTCTATAACAGCCTTATTAACAATGAATGATTTGAGGAAAATATGGTAACTTTCGTGATATAAAAGAGAAGCTAGGCAAGAGAAAATCAAAAAAATATCGTACAGAGAAAATTTACCTAATTCGCAACCATAACGGAATAAAGATAAACTATGAAAACCAATTAACAAATATTTAAATCTATCTGAATGATATGTTATATATATATATATATATATATATATATATATAAATAATTTGAAATCATATGTCAACATTTCATATTCACTTACACTTATAATACCGAAAAAACATTTATAAATCAAAAATGTATAATAAAATTCTAGATGTAATTGTAATGTATGTACCTACGAATAATAAAGTTTTCATTATTAACTATTTTATCTGATTTTAATACCTATAGCTAATTTAAATAATTGTAAATATGTTTATTTTATACATTTATAGGAGTAAATATTATTTTACATGATTATTTTGTATGTAATTATTTAATTGAACGCAGTTATGATATTGATTAATTTGCAGCATCTAATTAATTTAAGTAAATTTTTAATATGATTTATTTTGCGTTTGATATATTCGTTAGCCGAACGAGCAGACTGTAAACGATGAATTAAAATGTGCAATGATGATAAATTAAAACAACAACGCGTTCAACAATGACCTCAGCGCGTCGGGTTCCCACGATCACGATTTATAAAACACACGCATACACGTAAAAATATAAAATAATAATATATAATTTCTATAGATTTTAAATTATGTCTTAAGAAAATTTTTAATTTTTATATTTTTGTTTTTTAAAATCACGTTCAATGTACTGATCCGCACGCACTAGTCAGGTGTATATGACG